CTGAAGTCAACTAAAGGGCTAATGATAACTATCACAAAGCTTGCCATTTGATATAAATATATAAATGAAAGATTTTACTCACTAATCTACGGGAGTTTGTATTTTGCTTGTTTTGTGTATGTTTTACCTCCATAAATGCATAAATTAGCATTCTTATTTGCTTGTATACTTGCTTCGAGTAATCACCTGATTCAGCAGCTATTTTTAAACTTGTCGGCAATGGAACTTTAATTTTTGGCAAAAGCGAGGGCACTTTATAAGCGCAACGTTGGCACATAATCGAAATCGTTCAACTAAGGGTACTATTATCAGTCGTTGCAAGCATTATTTAACTTTAAAATAGCTGATTATGACCTGATATGGCCTATCGGCATTTAAATTTATGTAATTTTGCAAAAGAAATCACATTGTAAATTTTCTGAAGAAAACGCGAAAATCTGGTTGTTCCAAATCCAAAATTTACGATCATCTAAGTTGCTGACTTAAAATTGCTGTGGGCTTCATTCTGAAAATTTGCCTATAATACAGATGACTCATAGAAGGGAATTACTGATAGCCCGAAGTGATTAAGATGACCTGAATGCATCGATGTCTCACATTTAACTATCGGTACTTTAGTTTGACTAATACATGAGTTCCTGTGCATAGATTTTCGACATTATCCACATTTATTTATTTATTTAAAATGGCAAGCTTTGTGATGGTTATCATTAGCCCGATAGTTGACTTCGGACTTCACAGAGAGGAGTAGGAACATCAAAGTGAGAAAAATTCGAGAGGGGGGGGGAACAGAAGAGTAATTTACAGATGCAAAGAGACAGACAGACACAAAGGTAGGATAAGTATGGTGGAAGTGATCGAATATGACATACAGTGGGATCATGGTAGTTTGGAGTCAGAAGTCAACTGCCGGTTAATAGACTTCTTTCGCCATATGAGTATACGCTGCCCATGGTGCACCACGTGGAGGTAAGTCTATCGTTCACCTCCGGGATAACAATATAAAAAATCCCGTGCTTGAAGACTGATATTTTGCGCTTGTGACGTAAAATCGTTAATTGGCTGATTAAAAAAAAACATTATGCAGATTGCGACGTCATCTGGCGTTGGCAGAACATTAAGAAAACCGAACGAAATTTCCTTGACCAAAATATTACACTGTAATTACTACTCAAAGTGCTAAAAAATTAAGTAGATACGATAATTAAAATTGCTATCATGGGATGAGGACCGTTGTTTTGATAGACCTGAAATTAAAATTTACTGGTTGTTTCCACCTTAACAGTTGCAACAAATCCGAGGTTTTTTATGTGTTCCAAAATTTTTATCTTGACCATCTCTAAACGCTGAAACACAGCCCCATAAATTCGACCTCAATTTCCCCGACAGGGCTATCTTGAGGACTCAAGCAGGTTATTTTAATTAGTGGGAGAATAGTTCTGTAGTGCTCAACGCTACCGAGGCTGACCAGGGAAACCTCTTGACCAATAGAACATTCTGGAATCTTAGCCTGGGTTCAAACTCACCACCAATTAGAGGGAAATGTCAGGCAACTTAGCGTGCCGTTGACAACACATGCTGTCAGCTTTAACGCGTGCATCCGTTTTTCTTTGACCATCTGCCGTCTTTTTTCTCTCTTACTCGTTCGATCCCACTCGGGGTATATTCAAATCACCTTGATCAACACAACTCTGTGTGTTCGGCATTTCTAGGAAAATTTGCTTAATTTTGCTCCAACTTCAACAATCCACTTCTGGTTCATTGACTCCACAAATTTTATACCTTGGCAACAATAATCTTAGAATAGCACTTCCAAGCTCATGAATCAGGAGGTTAATGCATTGAAATCTCGACTTCCAAAATTACTTCCTTGTCAGTGACTGGAACTTGACTTGGGAGAAGAAAAAAGAGGTCGAGACTGCATGAACTTTCAAAGTAGTCACGATGCAATTGTCAACCAATGGCTTCTAATTGAGTAGGCACTCATGTTAGTCCCTACCTAGGCGAACTGCAAATCAGCCTTTAAAAACCGCCACCAAGTTGAAGCCTAACCCATTTAAATTACACATATAAGCTTTACCTGAGATGACCTTGTGTCTTGACGAGATGTCTAAACATAACGCATCTTTAAGCTGCTCTTCACTTGATCTAACCATCAAAATTCAATCATTTAATAGAATACAATTAGTTGAATGTGGAGAGTCTAAACTTAACTTTTTTTAACCTTATCACTGATTAGACAAAACCTCCCAGTTTGGTATCATTAAAGGGTGCATGCAATTCCCGTTTACGGAGATCGCAAGACGTCAAGTCCTCTTCGACCTATTAGGGCAAGGGTGACAGGGTGGAGCGAATCGATTTCAAGTGCATTTGATTAACTTATCAAACGCCTCTGAGCCAATTCAACTCTCAAAACATAAACCTACGGGAAGTAAAATACTCGATCGAGAAATAAGTGTCTTAGCTATATATGCTAATTAAATTTATTTATTTATATCAAATGGTGGACTTTATGATAGTTATCATTAGCCCTTTAGTTGACTTCAGGCTTCACAGAGGAAGAGGAACATCAAATCAGAAAAATTCGAGAGGGAGGGGGGGGGGTGAACAGAAGAGTGTTTCAAAGATGTAAGAGACAAACACAAAGGTAGAAAAAAGGTGAGGTGAGTACTGTGGAAGTAGTCGTATATGACATACAGTGGGGTCATGGTAGTTAGAAGCCAGAAGCCAACTGCCGGTTAACAGACTTTTTGCCGTATGAGTACACGTTGCCCAGGCTGCACCGCGTAGAGGTAAGTCTATCGCACGTCCCATACTAATTAAATAAAGCAAAGGAAATTGTGAATTTTTTGATTGTTTCAATAGTCCTTCTGAAGGGTTACCAAGTAGTTGCCACTTTTCTGCAGACAGATACTTTCTGATTTTCAAAATAGCAATTAGTAATTTATTTCGATATAGATATGTAATATCTTTTAGATAGGGCACTTAAAAGTATTGGTTCGGTGTTGCTTTAAGTCGTAGGAGTACAAATTACGCTAATTGACCTTTTAAGAATAAGCCCCGCAGATCTAAGTGCATTCAGTCTTGCTTGCAGATATACTATTAGCACAAATATGTACTTACAAGAATGAAGCCGTCTAGGTTGTTTTCTGCAATACTAATTTATATATAGCAAATGGCAGGCGTTTTGAGAGTTATCATCAGTCCTTTAGTTGACTTCGGGCTTCATAGTGGGGAGGGGGAGGAGGAGGAACATCGAGTGGCAAAATGTCTAGAGTGGGGGGGGGGGGGACAGAATAGTGATTCACGGATTTAAACAAAACAGACAGGCACGATGGCAGAGAAAAGATAAGATGAGTACTGTGAAGTAGTCGAATGTGACATGCAGTGGGATCATGGCAGTTTGAAGTCAACTGCCACTTAATAGACTTCTTTCGCTATATGAGTATACGTTGCCCAAGGTGCACCACGTGGAGGTAAGTCTATCGCAATCCCCATTTTCTACAATATAGTCTGCAGACTAGACCTCGTTAACTGAGGATAATATTATACCGCTTGCCCGTGCTCAGGAATTACTTTACATAATAGCAAGATTTTTTTGAGGGCAACTATGAGAACAAAAATGGCTCAATTACACATGCAGCAATTAAGTGCTCCCATTGATACGATTTAGGCACTCGGTGTATATCTATTAACATTAAACTAAATTTACAGGTTCGAGCAATACAGAAAATTTGATCAAGATGTGGAAAAGTAATAAGCACTATAGTGCATCTACACAATTACTTCAAATTAACGCTCTACTTATGTAAGATATTGGATGGATTATTGAATGTTATGGAGACCCATAGCCGAGAAGATTTCGAATTAAGCTCTACCAACCAATAATTACTGCAACGTGGCATAGCACTGTATTTTGGTGACTGAATTTTGTGGCAGTTTATCCAAAATTGTCAAAATGGACGATCTTCACTCCGCACGTTCTACATTGTTGCAGCTCAGAACGTAGCGCAGCTAAATTCAGAGCACCTTTAAACTAGGGGATCATGCCAGAAGATTACTGAAGCCTATTCAGGATCATTTTCCAGAAGTAAGAAGGTTAAATGGAGGCTGAGATGTGTACTCATCAAAAAGGATATTTTAGAGCTACAATTCTTACGACGAAATTTTGGTATAATAATAATTGAAGCGTCCAAGAAATATCCTAGAGATTTTAAATGTCAATAGAAATTGTCAAAATTCAGTGAACACCAAATAGACACGATACTTAACCCGAGTCGAATTCAAACACCTAAAAGTTAATTTGACAGTACTAAGACGCAATCCAATTAATGAATGCACCACCCAAAAGACCTTCTGACGACAAATTCGGATGAGTGTTAGGTGTAATGCAAGCCAGCGAATAGCAGTTCTTATTGAACCCTTCTCAACGCGAAATGTTACCACTGAGAAAAGGCAGGCGACAATGCGCTTGGCATACAGTCGAGTGACAAATCCGTAAAAAACCGAAGACTATTCCACTCGAAGCTTACTAATACAGGTAACAAGTTAATTCAAATCTAAAAATGGAACGATGATGAGTGCATTACCGGAACCCCTCAGTACTAGTGACATCTTCACGCCTCATAAAAAATAACTGAACTACAACTCGCAAAATACCAATTTACACGAGGACGGCTGGAAATAAAATCATTCAATAGACTACCCGTTAAAGGCGGACAAAATTCTTAGTTTGCAAATTCTCCAGAAACAACCAGCAAAACCCAACCATTTCAACGAAAAAAACAAAACCAAGATACCAGTTGTCTATATTACAAGTTTTATATATACCCAAAAACTAATAACGTCTTGCTCTAGTAGCACGACGACTAGTCAATCAGTAATGCATCAAATTTAAGCACTGGGTTTTCCAAGACGATAGGTGATGTAGACCTGTTTGAATTTATCAAAACCAGCGAGTACACCAGCACCGGCAACGCCTCGGAGAATATTAGCTCCGGCACCGCGCATCAGAGCCATAGCACCTTCTTCACGGATAATGCTCACAGCACAATCAATGGACCCCTTGTATTTAACAGCAGCACCTAGAAGAATAGTTTGTAAAAACATACAAATCAAGTCTTACCTGAAGTCATCATCATTCGACGACGAATAGTGTCTATGGGATATGAGAGGAGACCAGCAGTAACGGTAACACCATAACCCAAAATGAAGCTAAGGGTGACACCGGCATCTTCACCAAGGAAGATAGGCTTGATGGTATCATAGAGACCGAAATAGAATCCACGATAAACCACAATACCAATACATGAGATCACGAAACCACGGTAAAGACCAACAATACCGTCAGTCTTCCACGTTTTCCTATCAAGATTTATGATTACATTGTAATTCGAAATACATACTTGTAAACATCAATCATACCGTCGTATTGACGAGCAGCACCCTTCTTGGCCGATTTGGTATCACTTGCAAGACGAGTTCGACAGTAGTCCAATGAGTACACAAAGACAAGTGACAGAGCACCAGCAATACCACCGCTAACAACATTCTTGGAGAAAGCAATAGCATAAGGATCGTCCTTGTTGGGCTTGATGGCAGCCTTAACCTTGTCTTTGAAGGCAAAGTTAAGAGCTTGGGTTGGGAAATAACGAAGACAGTTGGGAAGATTTCCTCTCCAGAATGGCAAAAGACCCTCGGAGCGGAAGGTTCTTAGAGTGCAATCAATAACACCATTGTAAGGTTTGTCCAGTGTTCCCAACTTTAACATCTCACCCTGATTTTGAACCAGGAGCTTGACGCGCTCAATCGGAGCAGCTGCGGTCTTAGCAATAACCGCAGCGGCACCGCTAAGGCAGAAATTTTCCGCGAAACCCAACTGATCTCCCTTCTTACCAGACATTTTGTGAGGACCAAGAGGCAAGAGTGCAACCGAAAGTACGGCACAATAAGATTGGTTTCAACAAATATCGTTTTTTCGTCAACAATAAGTTTTTACTTTATAAGAATTAAAAATGTATTTAAAATCAACTAAAATATTTTTTTAGGAATTATTTAAAGCAATATTCATTTCAATATCAGAAGTAAACAATAGTCAAATGATTTTAGAATACTTAGGTCAAGTTGTGCATAAGCTTCTAATAAAATATTATCATTTTAATTTTTATAACTTAACATTGTTGTGATCATAATTCACATATAGTCAACTTATTTTCCGCATAAGTAGTTGGAATTAGGTCTCACTGCATAATTTTCAAATCAAATTCATAATTAATGTGTTAGTTTTCCTTGAAGGGCAAATTCTTATTCAGTAAGAACTTTATAGGGATTAAATAAAAATAACCATTTTATATGTCATAATCGAGAGATCGTTTATAAAATTATCAAACACATGAGGTCATTATGGATGTAATTTTGAGTACCTTTGATTAAAGAGTATACTGCAATAAATGCGACTCTTTTTATTTCGTTTAACTCATTAATTTTATCTTGCATTTAACTGAGTAAGAAAAATTTGTGCTTTAACCTGGTGGTTTTAATAAATCAGAAAAATAGAATAATTGTGCAAAATATTTCAGGATTAATATGCGGTGGTTTACTGAACTTTATTGATAGAATAGCAAATTTAACCATCCAGATAGCAAGGGTGCGCAATAGACTTACCTCCACGTGGTGCACCCTGGGCAACGTATACTCATACGGCTAAAAGGTCTATTGATCGGCAGTTGACTTCTGACTTCAAACTACTATGGTCCGACTATTTGTCATATTCGACCCCTTCCACAGTACTCATCTTACCTTTTCATGCCTTTGTGTCTGTCTGTCTGTCTCTTTTACATCTGTGAATTATTATTCTGTCTCCCCTCTCGACTTTTTGTCACTTTGATGTTCCTTCTTCTCTCTGTGAAGCCCCGAAGTCAGCTCTAGGGCTAATGGTAACTTTCGAAACGCCTGCCATTTGATATAAATAAATTAACCATCCAGATAGCATCGGGGTTATGAAGGAAATGTTTATGTAAGAAGCAAAAGAATGAGCTCGAGTCGCAATTTGGCTTTTCAAACTACGCGTGAAATTGACGTCTCCTCAAACAAAAGTTATTATTGTTTATATTCTTATTTGGTCAAGTAGATTTCCATTTGAGTTTTCTTAGCTCTCTTTAATTCTTAACACAGTTATGTTAGCTTGATTTATTATATAAACACTATTCTCTCCTTTATTCTGATTTTCCTTCTCTACATTGTCTCTACCAACCGTTATTAGACTAGGAAAGTTTGAGACAATGCAGAAATTATATTATCATTTGCCTTCCCTCCCATCTTATCAATTAGATTAAGCGTATTTCCAAATTATATGGACGAAATATAACAACATCAGAATGGAAGTTGCCGTCAAAATGCCACGCTCAATGTGTGTAGCCTACCGTCTGCCCTAAGATAACAGAGAAATTTTTAATGAACTCTTTTTGAAGATGTTTTTTGCAATTAACAGGAATCAAACGGATCGGAGGTAGCTCAAAGCCTTACTAGACAAAGGTGAGGTAGGCTCCTGCTCACGGGGTGTGCCAATCGGATAACCGAATTGGAGGATTGAGTTACATAGCTAACGTTCGTGATGGACATGGCAGAACGCGGCCGCCCGATCCCACTGCTTCTTATCTTTCTTGCAACTTACTGACAATGCGCCTGAATATATAATATTTAGTTAACTGTGTCAAAGGACTTAATAAAGCAAAATAAACTATGACATATATTTTAAAATATTATACATTCTGCAGTTATGTTTAAGTTAAAATTACCATAATCATCTATGTCTTTTACATGTTCGAGCATTTAATGCATTTTACCACATTTACTGAATGGATTAGTTCCTAGAGTATCGATTCTGAGTGTTATTGCTAATATTTGTATATCATCGCGGAGGGACTTGTGTGAATTCTTTATATTGAAACAGTAAAAATAAAATGATTTGCAGCCTATAACAACCTCTTCGAATCTACATCTTTACGTTGGGATATGACTGCGCTGCAAAGTAAACCACAAAATTTCACACAAATTTCAATTCGACCTTTAAATTATTGAAGAAAAGACGTTTGTAATATTGATAAGCTTTATTGATGCAATTATTTGGTCAGAGAAATGACGAGATCATTACGAAAGAATGCGAAAGCATAGCATCTAGAGTGTAAGACTTCAAGCAGCAAATGTTATTACTGTCATTAATAACTTTGTGTGAGATCATGAGCAGCTGCATTAAATTAACTAATGGTTCGGAGGTTGGGGGCGGGGATAGGGGGGGGGGGAGTTGACTGGGAACGACTGTGTGGGGAAGGGGATAGGGTCAGGGAAGGAAGGGTCATTTCAGCGCTGGAACTTGAAGTGACAGATTTTTTTCTCGTTTTCCCAACGTTAGACAGTTTGACCATGTTTTGAGCATTAGTTTGTCGATTAGAATGTCTTACGGTGGCCAAAATTAGGAAAGGGCACAACCGCAAAGTCGAAAGGTGAAATTTGGCTGAAGTGTGAGAAGACAGGCACCTCACACTGCCACGCAGTAAACTGAATTGCTAGTTAAAGTTCTGATTCGAAAGTAGGGTAATTCTTTTACAACAACATAAACTCAGTGATTGGTCAAAATATGCAGGAATAGGAAAGAAAAGTGTGGTTCAGAAATTAGTGGCATCAGATAGATTTTGTGAAGGACATGGAGTTGGTGTATGCTATACACAGTGTCTGTAGGAATTTTTACAAGTGATATGGATGAAATCAATTAATTGATTCTAGTATCTTCTAACGAAGGTACGATCTTTCTCTTGATGTTCTACTATAGGTGTAGCTACCTTCTCTTCGAGACCATGAACGAGTTGAACGCACACTGTGTTCAGATTCTCGTTGTTCGCTTGTCCTAGACGACGAAAAGAAAAAGTATATTAATTTGAATTGAACAACGGTTTCAAAGTAGTCTTCACTATGCCTAAAATTTGTCTCCACAAACAAGCAAACTCCTCCATTTTCTATACATCTTCCAAAACTTCCCATATGCATTAAAATGTTAAGAGGCAAATGCTACCTGATGCGAGATCGGATTTTAGGGTTGATGTCAACACGCGCATTGAGAACAATCGGTTCCATCGTCTCGGCAAGAGTTGCATCTGAAGGGGTAATAGTAAGAGTGTATCTGCCAGCATCTGTCGACATTGCTTGGTCAATTGTAAGACACATTTCACCGCTCAGATTGCGAGTGATGCGTCGACGACCATCGAAGGCCAATGTTCGACCGGCCTTTGTCCAAGTGGCTAAAATAATTTGAAAGAATGTTTTACCAAAGGGCTAACATTTCATTTACACTCACAAGGTCAATGCAGAGTTGACTTACGAATTAGATGAATATCTGATTTGACAACGCAGAATAGTCGTAGTTCTTCGCCTTCAAAGATCTCAATGACTTTGGGGAGGTCTGTGACGACCTCGATCTTACCAGATGGCTCCGTGGTATGTGGTTTCGGTGGATGTGGGGGAAGTTTATTTCTATCTAGAGTTGATTCATTAACAGATGAATTTGTTTTCCTCTCTTGAACACCACTACCATCCACGTAGATCAGACAGGCACATCGATCACGCCCGACTGAGTTATGTGCCACGCAGGAATATAAACCAGCATCGCGTTTTTCGACAGTCGGAATTGTTAATGTTGCACGACCTGTCGTTGCAGAAGTCGAGAAGATGTAACAAGGATGCGATTCTGGTCGTATATCTAGACCATCCTTCTCCCTAAAAAGAAAAAAATACCTTCAAAATGTCTGAAGAATTTTACGTTAGAGTGGTTTAGAGGAAGAAAGCAACATACCACTTGAACTCGGGGCTTGGAAAGCCCTCAGCAATGACTTCAAATATGGCTTTTTGTCCTGATATGAGGTAGCGATCTACGAGTTGTCTTGTGAAAATTGGCACTCGGAAAGCATCATCTCGTGCCTTCTCCAAATGGCACGAAGAACGTGCTTCACCTGCACTATTGTAGGCAATAACCGTGTACTTGCCAAGTTCAGAAGTTGTGCACTTTTCAATGCGAAGTTCAACGTTTCCGTTCAAGTTCTAAAAAAAGAAAATTAATATTAAAAGAACGTTATTTTCAAGGCATAGTGGGTTGGTATTTGGGAACCATTAGATATACCTTAATCTGATATGGTGATAGAGTTGAGTCTGTATTGATTGGAATATCATCCTTTTCCCAGACAATGTTTGCTGGTGGGGTGGCCATGATAGAAGCCGAGAGACGCACAGAATCACCAAGGGAGACCACACGGGACTTTAGGCGTTGAGTAAATTCCGGTGGACGGCTTCGTGCCACAGACATTCGACCTTCGAAATTGCGTCGTGGAATTGAAGTTATGGACCCGCCTGTAAGAAAAGATTAAATTTAAAAATTTATACCATTGTATCAAATAGCAGCTGAAGGATCACTTACCTCTCACGATTACAGTTGATTCAGAAATTGCTGTTCCAGATAAACTGGTTGCAGCACAAACGTAGGCACCACTGTCTTCATATTGACAGTTCGTGATGGTAAGACGGCATGTAAGGCGGTTCATGCTATTAGTCTCAGTGACAACGGTGCTGAAGCGGCCACCAACAACCAACATTCGACCATCCTTGAACCATCGAATTTGTGGATCTGGGATTCCTTCCACTTCTGCTTCAAGAGTAATGATATCATCCACAAATGCAGAAGCGTTCGAGAGACCAGTAACAAATTTTGGCATTGATGAACCGGTCTTGCGTTCAGCTAAACACAGAGAACCTCGATTATAATTATGCTCAGATTTTCAAATATATTGAAACGGTTTAATGCAAACTTACGCAGAACGTTGACTACAGCAGAACAGGTATCAGAACCATTTTTGTTGAATACACTAACTGTGTAGGTACCGGCATCTGAAGGTTTTGTATGGCGAATCTCCATCGTGTATGTAACTTCATTTGTATACCCGAGTGCTGAAGATACCAATTCTTCTTGAATACGACAGTTGGGATCAGTATCCAGAGGAACTCCGTTTCGTTTCCACGTGCATTTAGGCTTAGGAATTCCGCCAACTACAAAAGGACGTTAATTACCGTCAATTATTGTTAGAGAAAGCTTGAGTGTAGCAAGGGATAGTAAATGAACCTCGGATTCTGAACTTAAGGGTTTCCCCAGCAACCACAGTATGATCAACGATAGGTCGGATGATCTTAGCTCCGATTTCGCCCATCATAGCTGCTGTCCTTTCTTTCGGTGTCAAATGCGGCACTGCCCCACCTAAATCAGACAAAAGCAGCTAATTATAAAAATGGTCGAATGGGGATTGAATAGAAGGTTAAAGAGAACAAACTTACGGTGAATCTTAAGGTTAGCTGATTCGGATATAATACCGAATCGTCCACGGAATGTAGCCACGTACGTGCCAGCATCAAAGACGCTCAAATTCCGAACAGTAAGCTTAGCTTCGCCAGTGATACGATCGAATATAGCAGAATACTTATCAGACATGCGTCGAGTTGAATGTTCAAAGTCAATGACCTTGCCATTCACTGACCACTCAACACTGACATCATTGAGGTCTAGAAGATCTCCAACATGAGGTGGTGTCAACACACACTTCAGAGTGGCTTCACCGCCCTCATGGGCTTCGGAATTGACCATTGGCACAGTAATTTTTGGAGCACGACCACGTCCACGGAGGAAGACATTCATTGAAATGCTGTCGTCATGGTAATCACGTTGGTCATCGTATTCATCCCAACTCATGCGACGACGCTTACGGTATTCAATAATTCTTCGTCTCTTGCGAATTTCATGCTCCATTTCATCGACAAATTCGGTCTCACCTGACTCCATCTTTTCATTCCAATCAATTTTGCGAAGGAGGTATTTGTATGCGTTGTTGGTAGCATCTTGAAGGCGTTGTACACTCTGTGAGACAATTTCATTGACGGTTTTCCTTTCCGTGGATATCCACGGGTGACGTAGAGCTTCTGTGACGGATGGACGAAGAGTAGGATCAGGATTAAGAATCTTGCGTGCAAAGTCCAACACCTCTGGAGAGAGATTTAATTTCTCTAGGGCTTCAATGCTTGGACGGTGCTCGGTATCGCCAGTTAGCATTTGGTAGAGCAGAACACCCACTGACCAGACATCAGTAGCCCTTGAAATCTCTGCGTTTTGATTAGCACTAGAGGTTCGTGTCTTAGAAGAGTAGAGTTCAGGAGGGAAGTAGATGGTTGATCTGAAAGTCAGTCTGACTGGCTTGTCCTCTGTCAGTTTATAGTATTGTGGTACTCCACCCAACACGATTTTTCTACGCATTTTATCGGCGAAGAAGATATCGGAGGCATCAACACCGCCCAAGAAGGCAATGTTGCGAGAATGCATACTCTCCAATAGACTGAGGATTTGCTGCATAATCACAGCGGCCCTTGACTCCGTTATAGTAATGCGATTTCTTATTTGATCCCATAGAGTCTCTGGAAGCATATCATCAATAACCCAAATCAAGCGTTGAGCATCAACAAAGACATCTCTTAGTTCAGCCAAGTTCTGATGGTGCGTCGAGGCGAGAAGTTTGAGCTCTCTTTCAGCCCGAAGACGGCGATCTTCTTCAGCTTCACGACGAATGCGCGTTGTAGGTGTATAGACAGAGGCGCGGAAATCCGTCAAAGAAGTATACGATCTGCTGGTAGGAATATGAGAGAGATCGCCCAAATCTACAATCTTGGCAATCCTATACGCTCCAGTCTCGCGGTCTTTTATGCGATAGAGGAAAGCATGCTTACTCTTGGCTAATTCTTCAATCACCTCATACTTTTCCTCGAATTTTCTGCTACTGAACCGAATAGGAAGTTCTTGTGAAGAAAGACGTCGGGATACCGTTGGTTTCTCAAATTCCTCTTCCGATGTGTCAACACTTATGAATCTTGACGGTTCACTAGAAGGACCGAGCCCTAACATGTTCTGTAGACGAACTCTAAACCGATACCTTTCACCAGGCTTGAGTTGAGAGCCGATTACAACTTCATTCTGATTGATTGTAGTGGTACCAAGTAGACGCCAATTCTCTTCAATTTCAACTTCTTTGTCAGAAATGTACTCGATTCTGTATCCAGTACTGGTGATTGCATCATCCGAAGATGGCGGTTGCCATATTAGGAGGAATCGACCCGGACCATGAGGATATATTGACGGTGGAGCGAGTTTGGCTCTTGGTTTGTCATCAACATAAAGTCGAAGGTCAAAGTAATCTCGACCGGCTTCATTCTCAATCCAGATGCGATAGAGTCCTTCATCTTGCAGGCGAACATCTGAGATATCAAGGGTCAACCATCGACCACAATCTGAGATCTTGACATTTGCACGTCGTTCTGCTGGGAGAGTGAAATCAGTTGAGGTGCGTTTTGGCTTCCAAATACATTCAATCCAAGCGCGATGAACCCATCTTGATCTGTCAGTGACGTGATAAGGCACGTCGAGTGGCAGTCGTACGTTCCAATTTCCTCCACTAATCACTCGATGGTCACTCTGTCCCGTGAGGAAGACAGTTCGGCTGAATCGTACAGGAGCTAAAGGCGAAAAAGTAATTGCCAACGATATGTAGAGACGGATTCTAACAAAAATATCGTGTTTTACAATCTTACCATCAATGTGGATTTTCCAAGATTCCTCAATTTCTTCGTAGAGATTTTGAATCTTGCAAGTAATGGCACCATCGTGTATATAGTCGATACTATTAATACGAAGCTCATAGACCCCCGGTGCTTTGGAAATCATCATGTAATTTGAGTCGATTTGTGGATAAATGACAATTCCGTTCAAATACCAAGACACAGTCGGCTGAGGTGAGCCCTCAACTTCAATATTAATGACTAAAGTCTGTCCCAGAACACATTTGAGGTCACGATTAGCATTAAGTTTCACAAAGCGCAAAGGCTTGCGTTCTGAAATACGAAAGAAAATGACTGTGGTAATTATTTGTTCTCAATTTAGTGTAAGGATCAATTTATTGAAATTACCTTGCTCAGTTGTAATGGAGACAGGAGTTGACAGCAACTTCGGATGACTATCGACTCCATCAGCGGTGGCAATGATTCGGAAGTGCCAGTCTGTCGATGAACCTCTTCTACTATCTTCAAGCGAACGCTGATGACCGAGGAATTTTTCCAAGTCAGTGGAAACCAGGGTGTACTCAGTTCCTTTAATATCCTTTTCCACTAATCTCCAGGCATCGGTTTTGTCGTACATGGAACGGCCTTCGATTCTGTAGCGGATTTTGCCAGTATAACTCTCTAGACTTTCTGGTGGAAGCCAGGTGAATCGCAGTCCACCTAGTGGTGATGAAATGAATGTTGTTGAAAAGCTTCTTGGCATCATAAGATACTCCATGCCTTTAGGAAGACTGGAGCCTCTCAGTTCCCCTCCAGGGGTTCTTATGGGTTTAAGAAGGGTTACTTCACGTTGAATTAGTGACGATCCGATTCCGCCATACTTATCAATAAGACGGAATAGGTATGAGCGTCCAGGCAAGAGATCCGTCACTTCATAACTGGTCTTGTGTCTGGAGATTGGAATTCGAGCAATGGGTTCCCATAATGGTTGCACAATTTCCTTCATAGAGTCTGGAATTAGACGCTGTTCGATATACAGATAACCGGTTGGATGATCTGGCAATTTCGGATACTCCCATTCAAGCAATACAGAAGATGGCCCAATGTGACTCGTGTACAGCCGTTTTGGAATGGGAACCTCAGCTGGAGTTGGCAGTGTAGATCTGACTGTACGTTCCAAGATCTCTGTTCGTGTAGGTTCAATAATCTGATCTTCAAACCGAATCCAGTCAGACTGTGGTCCATCGTCACTCTCAATAAGGTATTCAGTTCCCCGAAGAATGCTTGATGGTTCGCTAACAAGAGTCTTGATGCGAAATTGTGAAGTAGTGTCCACATCTAGAGTGTAGCTGAGGTTTGGTGTTCGACCGATTTCGATCCACTGACGTCGACCAGGAATACGCTGCTCAACAACGTAAGAAATCGGACCTGGCAACGGTGTCTTGAAATCGAGTGCAGGAGGACGCCAACCAAGTCGGAACTGGCCAGATGGAAGCTCTTCAATCGTTACGGGTTCACGAGGTGGTGGAACAGCAATAGGTCGTTGAGAAGTATAGAAACCATATTCATCAGCCGATTGAAGACGGAATGGACGCAGGCTTTCAACGGGTTGACCATAGACATCATCTCTGTATGGGATAACACGGAATCTGTACGACTTATCCGCATCCAAATGACGAATCAAGAAGCTAGATATTGGTACTCCACGGTCAAGTGATGGAATTCTGGAAATTTCTCGCCAGAGATGACGTCTGTCGTCGAGACAACTTAATTCAATTACGTAGCCTGATGGAGGCTTTGGCGGTGGTTCCCAAGAGAGTTGTACACCTTCGCGAGCTGGAGAGACATCCAGTAAACCGCTAAGACTTGGTGGTGGCACTTAAAAGAAAATTTCAGTGTAAGTTAATGGAAAGTGTATGTATAGAATATAAGTGTACACTTACTTGTCTCTTTTGGAAGTATGTGTGGACCAGAGACTAGTGGTTGGCTCCTGATTGTATGCGCTATTTCTGTATAGGGTAGCGTTCGTCGATATGTTGTTGGCGTTGATGATGATGGTTCAGAAGGTCCTTTGGACATGATCCTGAAGTCATATGATTTTCCAGGTTCAAATTTAGTGGTCTCCAGTGATGTCTGCCATGATGGTAGATCTGCTAGTAACTTCCAATCACCACCTTTAAGTCGATATTCAACCACATAGCCGGTGTGCATAATTGGAATATCGGTAGCTCGTCGAATGAATGGAATATCAGGCGGTGTCCAAGCCAGTAAGAACCCTGGACGATCTCTCAAGATGGGTGTAACTTCGAGATGTCTTGGAGGCTCTGGAGCCACTACAAAACGAAAAATAATAGCATTCAAACAAACTCGGCAAAGTGGAGATTCAAACTTAGAGAAGGGGCATATATTACCTGGTTTGGCAGCAACCTGAGGGGTTGGAATCCAGATTGGATAAGGCAGAGTAGCAGGTTCGCTTGGACGCATACCATCAAGAGTGGAAACTCGGATGAAGTGGGGTTCGTCTACGGGTAGAGCATGCAAAGTTGCTTCGTAGACTCCATGACCACGGTCCTCCAGTTTATGGCTCACTGTACGCCATGTATTTATATCAGGAAGCCATCGCTCTACAACATAGCCTTCGGGTGGTGAAGCACCCTTAAATGTAGGCAAATTCCATCTCAAAGCAATGCTTCCCGTCGGTTTCACATATGGTTCTCTTGGAGTGTCGATTCTTGCACGCACAAACTGCACATCTATTGGAGCACGAGAAACTGAAATCGGTTTAAGACTTGTGAGAGGCAACGAATAAGGGGTTCGTACACGGTAGTTCCAGGAGACAATGTTCGAATCCCTATAATCACCCATTACACCTGGTCCCCGAACACCAACTCGAAACTGATAAGCCTCAGACTTTGGATGCTCGAGATCTCCAAATGTCGGTGCCGGTGGATAGAAGGTGTAGCGTTCATGCCCAAGGGGCAAAGTGGCCAGATGTCTCCAACCTAAATCACCAACTGGACGATATTCCACATTGTAACTGTAGTCAACTGGAAGGTAACGATCAGATATTGATCCTGGTGTTGCTGTTGGGGGCACAAATGGAGCCCATTTAAGTTCAAGTGAAGGCGGTACACCAATCTCATAATCTTCTCGCGATTCCAGAATTCTCGCTTGAACAGGAACATCGGGCAATTGGAGAAGCTTTGATGGTAGTGCACTAATTTTGTAGTCAGGTCTAACTCTTGCTGTCAAAGGAGCACTATAGCCATACTTGTTTTCTGCTCTAACTCGATACAACAAGGGTCGAGGAACTGGAGTTTCTGTAGCGCTACCGGGTCGGAAAAGACTAACGTCGGGCATACGAACCATTGCGGTTGTCGTGGAACCAGGAACATTTCCAACTTCAATCCATGGAGCAGTTGAATCATCTGCTAATGTCGCTTCAATGATGTATTTCTGTGGGTAAATTGGAGTTGAATTTATTTCCATATGACGTGGTGTATATCGCTTAGGTGCCTCCCAACGTAGGCTAACCATGGAATCTGGAAGGATATTTGCTCTCAAAGGACCCATTGGAGCTTCTGGTAATCGTTGTATTGGTTCCTTCTCAGCCAATGGTACTCTACCACGAGTAGGCATAGTTACTGGTTCAAAGGTCTCCAAAGGCAGCCCAGGTCCCATAGCATTAACTGCACGTACTCGATAGAATGACGGTTCGGTATCATATCTTCGTAAGTCAGGAAGAAGTTGTGCTGATGTCTGATCAGCAGGAACTGTCATAACAGGCAGCCATGAGGCTGGTTGACCATGGTGATCGTATGGACGTTGTTCAATCAGGTAGTGGGTGATGGGTAATCCACCTGTATCTTCTGGAGGACGCCAACTCAAACGCAAGGTATCGACAGGTGTTTCACGACCCTCACTGGGTTTAGGTGTCAGTGGAACATCAGGGAAGGTCGAAAGTCGATAGAGAAGCTCATCAAAGTCACCGGCGGGTTTTCTTAGAGGGGACAAGGCAGGAAGTCTTGAAGGCAACATTGCTTTACGTTCGGCAACTAGGGGGCCTCTGGGTGCCGCAGGTATATCTAAACAACGAAAACAACGTTTTAAAATACTTACTATGATATGTAGAATAAGTGATTTTATACTTACCGTATGGTGAAATGAACTTGTACGTTTGATCTGGTGTGACTTGAATAGGCTTTTTGCCAAGATCTGAATAGGCAAGCAGACGGAGTTCAAGCTTATCACCTGGATGAAGGTCATGCAGATTGAATACAACTTGTCTCTCTCCAAGTGAAGGTCTACTTGAGATATCCAGAGGTGCTGTTCTGTTAATTGATCGCCATAGACTGTCTCCAGGACGTCGAACTTGCAGTTCGTATTTGGGTGCTGTTCCAGGACTAAGTGCAAGTAGCTCATCAATTTTAGATGGAGAAGTCCAAGTAACTTCAATTCCGCCTGCAGAAATTGGTTTAATTTCAAGCGGTTTACGTTCAAATAGAGGTTTAAGTCTATCCATAGGTTCACGACCTGGAAGTCGAACGGTATCAGGAGTGCTTACAATTGGACCTATGTGTCCAGAAAGAAGAGGAGCGACACCAAGAAACATGGTAGTATCTCGGGGGAGCTCACGAAGGGCAACAGTATCCTTTGGTCGGCCCCCAGGGAAGCGATCAATCTCTTGCCATTGCTGGCTGCCAAGTTCTCGGTAGAAGACGATATAGCCTTCAGGACGTGCAGGCATGCGTTTTGTTTCTGGAAACGACCAAGAGATTTCAATTTCATCGCTTGGTGATACACCCAGAGCTGTACGTGAAAATGGTCCATCAACGACCCTAGCACTGACATAAGCGGGTGTGATTGGTGTAGTGAGTTCCCTTCGTGACAAGAAATCTTCTTCTTTAGGTTTGGGAAGCAAGATAGTATCTTCAAGCCTTGAAGACAAATAAGGCCTAGTTCGTGTGTGACTATCACCAACAGCGAAAATACCAAGATGGAGCGTCTCTGGCAGTTCTCTGAGCATTGTTCTCGGAATTCTGAAGCTTGTGTCTGTAGCATCAACTGTACCTAGATTCGTCCACGTACTGCGGAATGGTTCACGGTATGAGATCTCGTATCCACGCAAGTTTTGTGTTGCTAGTGGGGGTCTCCAAGAAATCTGGACATCAGGAGCGGTTCTTGGCTCAAACTGCAAGTCGGGAGTCAGTAGACTTCTGCGACTCAATGGTCTAGGTTTAACTATGGAAACTGAAATCGGACCACGAGGAGGCTCAAGTGGAGCATAGGTAACCATTTCACTCACAGTCGGTTTGTTGGGAGAATATGGTCGAACAACTGGCGTGTAAGTGGGCGGTCTCATATAGATTGGTTCACTCACTCCATACTCATTTTCGGACAGTAAGCGATATTCATAGTCTTTCGGCTCTCCAGGTAGCCAAGGCAGTTTGGGTACAGTCAAGGGTCTCAGTTGGCGTAATGGAAGGCTTAAATCAATATCTGGAAGAGGAGTGGTTGGTAGAGGCATAATTCCAAATGACACCTTCAGACGGCTACCTTCTGGGATTGGCCTTCTTCCCACCATTGACCACGTTTGTTGTCCGACTCTTCTAGCCTCCAGGACATAGGATCTTGGTGTTGTGAATCGATCAGAAATTAGAGGTTCTTCCCAATGGAATTCCATCATCTTAATAGCTTGTTCAGTTGCAAGGTCGAGTCGTTGTTGTGAAGTTAATGGTTGGTATACAAGAGGGCCTCTTGGAGGTGCAGGAGGTGCCTTTTCACTGGGGAACAAGAGCTCTTCTGGAGGTTTACCAGGACTGAAGTACTCCTTCGCAACACCGGGTTCACTTAATCCAGCTTCATTTTGCGCACGTACTCGGAAAGTGTAGACTACATCATCCAACAAATGTGGGATAGTGATTTCGGTCACGTCTTTTCCAACCTTTTTGAATGGAACCCATTGCTTGCTGCGGGAATCCCACTTTTCAATGACATATGACTCAGTTGGATAGGCACCAGCTCTTGAACCTGGTCGCCATGATAAAACACCAGATTTGCTTTCACGAGAGCTGCCCATAACAGGCAAAAACTCAATGCCAGTTGGTGCAGGCGGTCGCCTCAACTGATCTTCCAAGGAAGGCGGCTTTGGTAAGGTGGATGTAACAGGTAGTGACTCCCCCATACGATTCACAGCGGTGATTGAGATTCTGTATTCATGCTGTGGATTTAGGCCTTCAAGCCTATGCGTAGTTGTTTTCGGACCGACAGTAAACACTTTCTGCTCATCAGTATCAGCATTTATTAACACAAGTTTGTAATGTGTTAATGGAAGACCACCTGTAAAGCTTGGTGGGCGCCATGATACATCGATTGGTCGTCCAGGTGTCAACGCTCCACCTACAGGTGTCATATCAACACCCCAAACGGAAGATGGAACAAACTCTCCACCTGGAAGAGAAATTGGTTCCTCCAGTTGGAATGCAGGAGCAGATGGCCTACCTTGTGCATCTCTTGGAACAACACGAACCCAAAGGTTGTTAGGAGCTTCCTCACCAGGTCGAGGGGTCTGTGGGATATCGGAGAGAGGCACAATATATCTTGTTTCAGTAGGTGGTACTTCAGCTAATCGTGTCCATCTGCCACTGGTTGGGCGCCAGCGTTCGATAGTGAAACCGCTCTGGTCTCCAATTTCTGGCCATTCGACGGTAGCCGTAGTCTTTCCAAGATTAGTCACTAACAAGCGTTCCAAAGGATATGGTGTTGTTGCAGCAGGACGCAAATCAAGAGGTTCCATCAAGGGAGTTTCGGCGAAAAATCTTTCAAGTGGTTCTCTTTCAATTCCAGCCGATTTTGGCGTAGCGGTTGTTCGGCGTATCATGTCAAGAGCGGCTTGTCGTCTCTGCAGAATAAATTCTGATACCATGGGGGTTGCAGCCCCAGTTCTCGCCAATGCCAGTTCTTCATCTGGTTCATACTCGGGTATAATTGGCCCTGTCATTGATGGAAGTGGTTTCCAATCACTTGGAATTTCTCCAGTTCTCTCAATTCGTTTTGCTCGCTCAAGTGGGACTTCAAACGGCACTGATTTAGTAGTGTCTCCCATCGTAGTAATTCGCATTAATGGTGTCGGGCGCGATGGAGGAAGTTCAAAAGTCAATTCACGTGGAGCTTCCTTAGGTACATGTGCCACAGGTCTCCAGGTCTTGCGTTTGATATCCCAACTCTCAACGGCATAACCACGAATTGATTCCACATCTCCACTATCAGGAGATTCCCAACGAAGTGTTGCAGGTATCCTTCCACCGGGAGTAGCTGCAGATGGAACAAATTTAGCTTCAGTAATGGGAGGTGGCAAACGAGTCTCTTTAGTTGGCTCAGACGCAAGAACAAAATCACTTTGAACCCAATCGCTTTTGCCTTCGGGGTACACAGCATTAACTCTGAACTTATAGACAGACTTTGGTCGCGGAGCTGTAGTCCTATAAGTGTAGGCAGTACCTCCACGTTCATTAGGCATTTTTGGAATGAAGTCCATCGGTATCCATTCATGCCTGATATCATCATTATCCATCATTTCAACGCTGAATCCATTCAAGTTAGGAATATCAGGTGATATCCACGTCACTTCTATTTTAGATGGGCCTGCTTCTGTCGATGGTGCCAGTTTAGCTGCAACTCGTTTCGGCGGTTCAAGACGTACTCTCTTCACATAGCTGTCAGTGGCAGTGAGTGGCTGTCCAACGCCATCAGTGTTAATAGCGGAAACTCGGAAGAAGTACTCCTTGTTTGGCTTTATGCCAGAGACGATGGTTGTGGGATTGGCTAGCTCCGAAGGTCTATCTGCGACGATACTCTCATCATTTGGATAAGTTCTCCAAGTGAAGCTTCTTCCTTCACGCATTTCCAGTTTATATCCCTTGATTGGCAATCCACCAGTGTTTACTGGGGGTGTCCAAGCCAACTCAACTTGGCCAATATCGTGATCTCTGACATAAAGTGGTCCTCTTGGTGCTCCAGGTGGTTCTAAAACAAAGCACGTGGCCGTTTAAAGGTCAGATTAAAGCTAGTTTATTTCCAAAATGAAAAAATTGTATTACCTGTCATCTTGCGAGGATGAACATCAGCTGTTGTAACAAGAGGTTCAGAGAATCCGTTCTTATTCTCAGCAACAACTTGGAACTCATAGGAGGTGCCTTCCATCAAGTATGGAACCTTGAACTCAAAGGCACGTTGAGAACTTCCTGGTGCGACAGGAACACTTCCGACTTCTTGCTTGCTTCTTCTGAACATTTCACGTTTGAAAATAGTGTATCCAGTTATTGGAGTTCCTCCATCACTATATGGGGCTTTCCAATTTAGAATGCAACTGTCCTGAGTAACGTCAGACACAACTAGTGGACCAACAGGCTGGCCAGGAACAGCTAAAAGAGGTACAATACAGTTATCTCATACTCGAGGCTCTATAAAAGAGAAAGGTAAGCTTTAAGCGTACTCGTAACAGCTTCTGGAGAAACTGGTTCTGCAGTAGAGACGATTTCTCCCGGACCCATTTGATTGAGAGCAGCAACCCCAAAGTAGTAACTCTTGTCAGGACTTAGTCCACCAACAACCAAGCGATTCATATAGTGATCAAGGTCGGTAACTGGTTTCCACTCCGCATTAGGAATACCTGCATCTTTTACGTATACCCTAAATCCATCTAAAGCAAGGTGATGCGGCACTTTTGGTCCATGATCCTTTCTGCAGTCATGAGGTATAAGCCATTCAACTGTTACACTATCGGCTCCTTTTCCTACAACTCGAATCCATTCAGCTTTTGGACGGCAACCTAAAATAGGCAAGAAATTTAACAGTATTCACTTCGTTCAGAGTGCTTAATGAATACGATAACTTGACATACTTTCGTCTTCCGGCATTTCAAAGAGTTCAGATTCCAAGAAAGGTCCAGTGCCAGCACGATTTGTAGCTGCGACACGGAAGTAGTAGCCAGTTGAACGTTTGAGACTAGTAACTGGGGTTGAAGTAGGAAGAATAACATCCACATCGTCGCCGGCTGAGGGTTCTTGAAGATGAGCAACTTTGTGCCATGCTGTTGTGTTGGCGTAGCGCATCTGAACTATGTAACTTGTCAGTGGCAACCCCCCATCATCAATCGGCTCTTTCCAGGAGAGTCGAGCGGATCCATCTGTAGCCGATTCACCCTTCTGAACTTCTGAGATATGCATTGGTCCACCGGGTGCAGAAGGCGGACTGTATGGGCTGACTGCAAGAACGGGTTTGTCCATTTCCAGGGGCTCACTTGTACCAGCAGCATTTTCGGCGAAAACACGGAATTTATAGCTTTCTCCAGGTTTCAATCCACTTACAAGAACTGTAGTGCCCTCATTAGCAGGCTTTCTTGCTACATAGACCCAGCGATCCTTCACAGATTCCCAACGCTCTACACGATACTCTGATGGAGGTCCATATCCTGATACGCCGCCAACAGGCGACGGTCCCCAATCAAGAACCACTTGACCTGCTTCAAGTGGATGCGCGACAAAAGGTAATGAAGGTTTGCCAGGTGCTGTAGGAGGTGCGCTAGGTGTGTACGGAACTGAGTAGAGAGGTTGCCCTGTCTTACTAGCCTCATTACGAGCAGATACCCGGAATGCATATGTTTCATCAGGAATCAGTCCAGTCGCTTTGAGCTCAGTATCTCTTGTTATAGCCAACTCCTCCCACTGTCCAGTGCTTCCATGGGTAGACTCGACAATGTACTCTAAAATTGGAGACCCACCGTCATCAAATGGTGGTCTCCATGACAATTTTGCGGTAGTATCATCAACAGGTGCAACTCGGAGCGGTTTCTCTGGTTCCGAAGGCGGTCCAACACGCCGATTGAGTGAAACAGAAGTCTCTGTGCTCAACCATTCCCCGTTACCCTGATCGTTAACGGCACGCACTCGGAAACGGTATGCAATACTTTCACGAAGATCACTTACAGGATAGCTTGTTGTAGGTGCCATTACAGTGGCCAAAGGTTGCCAGCCATCGGGCGAACCGACTTCATTTCTTTCCAGGTGGTATTTTTTGATTGGAAGGCCTCCATCATTTTCTGGTGGCTTCCAGTTCAGTACTAGTGAAGTGTTCGACTTATCAGTGCATTCCAACGGTCCCTCACAGATTCCAGGAACGTCTGTAATAGATTATATACAATTAAAACATGCATTAAACGGTATATTGAAATATAGATTTGGCTATTCAAAACAATACCGAATGGGCTTTTAACTGTGATTGGGCCGGAGTAGAGAGGTTCGCTTACACCAGCACCATTCACTGCAGATACTTTAAAGGCATATTCCACACCAGGCTGAAGATCTTCAAAAATGGCAGTACAGTTATCACGCCCCTTAACCTTGGTGGGTCGACCAAAATCCTTTCTCCTTCCGTCCTTTCTTTCAACAATGTAACCTGTCACGGCTGTTTCAGGTATCTCTCCTTCTTGTAAGACAGGAGGTTTCCAGGCCACTTCTACTGTGCTTCCGTCGTAAAGACCCTTGGCGGGTTTGATTTCTTTGACTTCAATCGGACCTTTAGGTGTCTGTGGCGGAGCGGTAACAATGAGCTCAAATGATGCATAAGAACTTCCAGCCACATTCGTTGCTTTAACTCTGTAATGACCAGTGTCACTTAGAGCCAGATTCTTAAGATTGACATAATAAGAGTCTCCGTATTGCTCTACAACACTTCGAAGAGAAGCTTCGCCACTTAGAGGACGTCCACTTTCCATTTCTAGCTCGACAGTTGCTTGAACAGGACTCTTGACAAGTAGTGGAACCCGAAGATTTGTGCCTTCTCGAGACTTAAACAACTTGTCGGTGGTAATTTTGATTTCCGGTGGTTCTAGAATTAGAAAATTATCACCTCTCATTGTTTAAAGAGAAAAAACACGAAGTTAAGGATAGAGTCAATTTACCTTTTGTTGTTGGAGGTTTCGGTTTGATAGCTTCTTTGAATTCAAGCAGTTGCTCGACAATGTCTTTTGGGCGACGATCTTCTGTGGGAGTGCCGTCAACACCATCTTTTGATCCGCCATCAACTTCATCTGCCCTAGTTGGTGAGACCTTTTCTTTAATCAATTCAGTTTGGGGCTTGGGTAGCCAATCGGTTGGTTCCGACGGTTCACTCATTCCAGTATTGGTGCGGGTAATCACGCGGAACTGGATATCCATATTTGGGTTGATATCGGTGAGATGAAGCTTAGTACCTTCCCTGATGGCTGAAGGACCAACACGAGTCCAGCGATTTGGTGGGCTACTCTTGATATCTAAGGCCTCTCTTGCTTCAACAACGTAACCAATTAGGTCTCGCTTATCGAGTTTCGAAGGTGGTTCCCATTTAACTGTAGCTTCTCGAGGTCCTTCTCTTGTGGCAGACACGTTAAGAGGCTCACCGGGAGTTTCTACAACACAACACGCGAGCTCAAACAACCGCACACGATTAAATCACAATATATAATGTATTTCAGCAACTTACGACTCTCGCTTTTAAGCATTATTGGGGTATCGATTTCAATAGGTTCGCTACGGCCGACTTCATTTTCGGCTGACACACGGAAGGCATAGAGAACATCAAGTTTAAGATTTCGAGCCTTGAATTCCAGCTCAGATGGAGTGGTTTTGCCAATAACAGTCCAGCTTAATTCAGAGGAGGGAACAGATTCCGCCTTATCAGGAGCGACAACTACGCTTTCAACTACGTACTGTGTGAGTTTGGAACCCCCATCTGAGACAGGTCGTTGCCATTGAATGAAGCAGGAATCTGGTTCTCGTGTCTTTGTGACATTGATTGAAGCTGGAGGTTGAGGTCTGTCAGTTACAACGAGGGTCACAGCAGCGTCTGCTCTTCCAGCGCTGTTCTTAGCTTCAACTCGATAAACTCCAGTATCCGACTGTTCTAGCGCGTTGATTGTTAGACGTTCTCGAGTTCGAACCGGACTAGTTGGTCTTTCTTTAGGATGTACATCTCCAAGACTGCGTTCAATCGATCTACGAGGTGTTTCTACAAGTGGCTGTCCGTCGTGCAGCCAAACCAATTCCTCACATCCAGGAACAGCCTCACAGACAGCTTCAACTACCAATTTACCCTGAGCACATCCTGTCAACTTTCCATCGCTGATGCGACCGGTAACCTTTTCCGATGCACCACGAGGATGCTCCAATTTGACTACTGGCTTCTGGGTCACAGTAACACGACATGTGGTTGTAGCTATACCAGCAGCATTTTCAGCCTTGCAAGTGTAAATACCAGCATCTTCCAGTTGAGCTTTATTCGTCTTCAGACTTGCGTTGCGGTCAGTTGGTGAATTAGTGGTAAATTTGCGTGCTGGTTTATCGTCTTTTAACCTAAAGCACACAAAGAAAGGCATTGACAGCTCTGCAGAACATTAGGGTCTTCCTTTAAGACAAGTTTAATAATCAAATTTTGCTTTAAATCACTTAAATTTGGAGACTTTCAGAGCCAAAACCCCTTGGTCCTTATACCTTATTTTCCAACACTCAAATTATATGCGTTAAAACAAAGACATCAAGTTTGACCTTTTGAGTAGTGGTTTTGACCGCTGAAGGAATGAAATGAATTTGTGGTTTAATTTCGTCACTACCTTTATCGAAACTATTGTGAATGTTTATAGTCTTAATAGCAGGAAACAAAGCTTACCAGGAAACAGTGGCCTTCGGTTCACCTAATTTGAAACTGCATTCAAGTTCAATCGGTGTGTTGACAAGAACAGTAATGTTCTCCAATGGAAGCGATACTATTGGCTTAGCAGATTCTAAAATTGTAAATTAGATTAAAGCAAGAGTAGAAGTAGCTGATAGTCTCAACTTCTAAAAGGTGTGCCCACTTACCAACTGCTTGTTGTGGAGTATAAGGTTCTGAAGGTAGCGAGAACTCGCCGGTACCAGCCGAGTTGATGGCAGCCACTCGAAATTCGTATTCGGAGTCAGGTTTAAGTTTCACGATGGTCATTTGACAGTCGATTGGCTCCTCCTCGCACGTGGCCCAGTGGGTTCCATCCGTGGTTTTGTATTGGACGACATAGCGCTTAATATTATCGCCGCCATCATCATACGGTGGATTCCAGTTAATAGTAGCGCTACTTTCAGTTGCAATCACAACTTCTGGCTTTGATGGACGATTAGGGACAGCTGAAAGGAGATAGAAGATTGTTAAGCAATCCAGTTAGACAAAACAGAGAATTTTACATTAGCTAAAACTTACTGAATGGGGGATTAGTCAAGATTCGAGGGCAGGGTAGAGAGAATTCGCTAGTCAGAGCGTCAGCATTTTCTGCTGCTACACGGAATTCATAAGCGTTATCTGGGATTAGATCCGTGATTGAGACAGTGCAACTTCTACTTGAATCCGAAGATGGCAATTTGTCCTTTGTTGCCCGGACCCAGTTACCCCTTTGATTGGAACGCTTCTCCAAGTGATAGTAGGTTATTGGTGAGCCTCCATCGGAAGATGGTGGTTCGATGGTGATCTTACAAGAAGTCGATGTAACATCATCAACCTTGGGTGCGTCTGGAGTACTTGGAGGCTCTAAAAGCATTTCAAAATTGATAAGTTAATGCCCATTTAACTATTATTGCTAATGGAGACTAAAAACATACTGGATGCAGCTTCAACACGAAGTGGTGTTTGAGTTTCTGCGGGTTCTGACCATCCGTTATCATTCTGTGCCAATACACGGAAGAAGTAGGTTTGTCCCGGTTTAAGATCAGGAATATCTCGACTAGTATCGATTGAGGGCTTGCCAACTGGTGTCCAAGTCTTTTTAGTACCCTCGCGTTTCTCAAGCACGTAACATGAAATCGGCATTCCACCATCCTTACTAGGTGGCTTCCACGTAACTTTTGCGGTCTTCGGCTCGCCTTTAACCATTTCAGCTTTGAGGTCTTCAACTGGTTGTGGAACATCTAATACTTTAACTTCAATTTCGAGTTCTGCTTTTCCGAGTTCGTTGCTGATTTGAACAAAATAGTGTCCTTCAGCTGTGTGGTCTACGCGACGAAGTTGCAAGGAGGTAAGTCCATAGACTGTTTGGGCAGAGGCCATGGGTTTGTTGACGTCCATTCCAAGAGGCAAGCCACCTCCATTGAAGGACCAATTGACTTTTGGAGCTGGGGCTCCTGAATATGGTACCTCCACGATGGCGCTCTTGCCAGCTGCCATAGTTATCAACTTCTTTCCTTCATAGTTGATCGTTGGAGGGCTGTTGATTGACAGTTGTGAAGTGCTAGTTAATCCATTAATGAGTTGAGCGGTATAGACTCCCTGATCACCTGGACCAACGTTTAACACTATAAGCTGATGAACCATGTTAGCAGAGGGTCCCTCACCAACGATTTCATAGATATTTCGGTAGTCTGGTTTGATTTCCACACCATCTTTAGCCCATTGGAGAGTCATTCCTGGCCTTGAAACCTCACATTCAAAGAGAGCATCTTTGGGAAGTTCCGTCAGATTAATATCAACCAATTCTCTGGTAAAGACGACATCAACAGCTAGAAAAAACAGCAGTAATTTGAAGCGATTTAGGTTGAAGAAAAAGTTCCTTCAATGTGAACTCAACTTACGCTTTTGAATCCGAGGTGAGGGCTCAGAGAATGGACTTGTGCCCGCCTTATTCTTTGCAGCCACACGGAACTGATAATTCTTTCCTTCAGCCATCATTTCAAGTGGGACGACGAATGTTGTGTCCTTAATTGGAACTGTATTTGGTATTGCAACCCAATTATCGGTTCCTTCCTGTTTCATTTCAATCAGATATTCTGGCTTCGAATCAGGTGTGACGGAACCCGTAATAGGTTGGTCCCACGAGAGTTCGATTATTTGATCTGCTGGAAGCCCCTTTTCAGGAGTCACCAATGCACGAACATTTTTGGGTGTAGCAGGAGCCCCTATAAGAAATAAGTATAAATTAAAGTCGCTACCTCTTTCGAATGGAAGTATTTAGTTTCATCAAACCTACCAAATGCAAGTTTAGTTGAAATGGGTTTAGTTTCAACGAAATCTGACTGTCCCACAGAATTCTTTGCTGCAACGGAGAAAACGTAGGATTTATCTACTTGCAATCCTTCGACTGTCGTTTTGAGTTCGGTTGTTTTAGTCGCTAGCTTGGTTGAGCGCATGGAGGTTTCACGCATTTCGACAATGTATTCCAGAACTGTACCTATCTCGACACCAATGAACTCGGGTTCTTCCCATTTGAGAGAAACGGTATCACCGGTGTTATCTATTGGTTCAAAGTTTTGAGGTGGAGAAGGTTTGTCCAGAACAAAGACGTGAATTGTGACGGTGACATCCCCGAGTTCGTTGGAGATTCTGACTGTATAATCTCCCGAATCTTCTCGTTTGGCGCGTGAAATCGGAAGAGAAGTCAGGCCGAGTACCTCTGTATCCGGTGTGAATCTAGGTGTTATCTCTTGACTGTCCTTAACAGGTGACTTCCAAGTCCACTTCACCTTGGGTTTAGGACTTGCCATGTAAGGAATTTCGATAACAGTTGAGCTGCCAGCTTTCAGAGTAATTGTATCCTCAAACTTGTTCGAAAGCCTCAGAACTGGAGGAACTGCAAGCAAAGTAAAATAATTAGGCAAAAAGGCAAATTTGG